ATAAAAAAAAAATATTTATTTGAATTGAATTACTGGATAGATAGAAATTTTAATTTTTTATTCATAAAATCTACATAGTCCCGTAAGGTCATTTTCAAGGCACAGACCCCAAATATCAACTAATTCGTAGAAAATCATTAATAATGATATCAATTGCGATAATGACTACAGCTTATACGTATAAATATAATGAAACCGCCTTAAATCTAGTTTTTACTTGATTTAACCAAGATACGTTATTTCCGGAGCGTAGCGGAGGACATATGATGTTTACATGGTGATACAAAAATTCCGTTTTGGTTAATTTATTAGATGTCCGCACGCGTGTCTATACTTGTACTTTAGTGTAACAAAAGCATGCATATCGTGCGTTTGTGCAATATATGATTATCATGGCTCCGGACACGCATTAACCTAGTAAAATCGATAGCTTATCAAATTCGGTCGAAATTATCATCGGCAAATTTTTTAGATGTCCCAGAATTTATGAAAACAGTTGTAATTAATTAGATGAAACATTATTGTTCGTTATCAAACGGTTTAATACATTCATCTAACACCAGTATTAATCCATTAATAAAAAAGGTAGAGAACCCCAAATTTTATTTAATTAAGGATGCATTACGTATTTTAAGGTAATAGTGATCCCGCTTCGCTTTTAGTAATATTTACTTTGCCATTTTATGTTTTTATTTTTATCTATTATTTATTTTTATTATTTTTGTTTTTATTTTTGCCGCATACCGTACGTACTACTTTGAGGCGGAGTCAAGGTGATACAAATTGTGATTGAAATTCCAATTTAAGTTCAAAACCATAGAACAAATCGAAAGCATATAAGCAATGAGTTTCAGGCAAAGTTAATATATTACTGTATAAAGTTGGCACATGATAAATTTAAATTGATTTTTCATTTATCAATTTGTAATTACTAAATGCTATAACATTTCACAAGCAGGGATATTATATATTATATAGTAAAAGTAAAATAAGTATTACAATCTCTCTTCAGGAATGCACAGGTTTCAAGTAATTACGTACTAACTTTTCTATTTAAGCATTACATCAACTAAGTTAGCATCAACAGAGTTGGAGTTTTCTTTTGGAGTTCCGAGAGTAGAGATGCGGTAGAAACTGTTACGACTTAAATCTACAATAATTAGATGCAGTGTAGCTATTCCGATTGGCTTGAATGTCGTGTAACGATACAATTTGTAGTAAACAAAAGATTTAATTTGTTTAATTGTAAATATTTTGTGCTTGGATTTAACAATAAACCAGTTCTTTTTTTATAACAATATTGTTAGCCAGTCTAAAAAAAAAAGGTAATGTCGGATTAAAAAAAATTTTTTTATTTAAATGTCGATTTCATTTTCCTTATTATTACGTATTTTTTCTCTATTAATATTTTCATAGAAAATGCACTGTGCAACTGTTTGGAATGTGGCGGTTTTGTACTACCGAATATAGAGTCGTTAATGAAACTATTACTGTAATTATGATCCGAGACTGTCAAAACTCATAGAAAACTTTAAATAAAGGAGATAGATAATTGATATTCTTCGTTTATTTCGTTTACAATATAGCTATATGAGTTTTGCTAAAAGAAAACCCGAAAATTTAAATATAAATCATAATTAAATTTTCGGGTTTTCTTTTAGCGACACTCATATAATCTCACTAAATTTGGAACCTACTTAAATATATTGAAGTTCTAAAAATTTTATAAAGCGTTAAGGCAAGCTCTTAACTAGCTTAGTTACATTTACATTTAGATTTTACAATTTACATGATTATTTGGATGGGCTCCTTCTATAAAGCGTCACGTTATATATTACATTTGTGTGTTGATAATTGTACGTATGATGTTTTAACATATTTATAACTTTTAATAGAATCTAATTCAGAAAATTTTGTTCAATAAATTTTGAATTTATTATCAAGAACATCTAACTTAATCAATATATCATATCGTTTTTTTTTAAGATCTTATGAACTTTATACTCAAGTTTACATAACAGGAAATTTTGAAATTCGTTATCCTTTGATAAAACAGTTTTATTAATCGTTAGTCAAACTAACGCTAATTCTAAATCATCATATTAAATGTAAATTGAATCTGTTATAAGTTTAATTAGACTTTTTTTTGCAACACATGTAAATAACAAATGTGAACCCCACCATAACTAAAAATTACATTACTTCTGAATTCTTGGTCTGATTGGATCGGAGAACATCCCAGGTCGTAATAAAGATTATCAGTATTTCTGGCTAAAAATAGAATGAGATTGAGTTATTTTTTCTTCATTGACTTAAATAGATTGATCACAATTACTTTTAAAAATGGATAAACTCAGCTATTTCAAGCAAGAAATGGTCACAACTGCGGAAATTTTCAATTATTTAGAAAAAATTTTACCATGATGGTTAAAGAAATTCTTAAATGAGACGGTCATTTGATAATTTCAATAAATCAAATATTCGAAATTATTTAACAAATGCAAAAAGAGAACTCTTTCTCATGAAATAGTTATTATTCACTCAAAAAGTCACTTACTTGCATTAGATTAGTTTTATTGCTTAATTTACGTATTTTTTTCCTTAAAACATCAATAAACCGAGTTATATATATATATATATATAATAAAATAAAATAAAAATGGGACCCAAATTATTTTGTAGCCGAACTCATATTATAATACTGTTACTCATTACGGCAATTTTCATAAGATTTACAGGTATAGCTTAATATATTCGCATCTATTAAGCAGCAACAACTTTTAAATGACTACAATATTAGCTACTACTACGTGCGTGTATTAACTTTTTTAACGTTTAAATCCAGTTACACAGAAGCAACCAGCAGCACCATCACCACAACCACAAGCACCTAAACAACCAGCAGCACCATCACCACAACCACAAGCACCTAAACAACCAGCAGCACCATCACCACAACCACAAGCACCATCACCACAACCTAAACAACCATCACCACAACCACAAGCACCATCACCACAACCACAAGCACCATCACCACAACCTAAACAACCAACACCACAACCACAAGCACCACAACCAACTCCGCAACAAGCACAACCAACACCAAAACAACCACAACCAACTCCGCAACAACCACAAGCGACTCCGCAACAACCAACTCCACAACAACCACAACCAACACCAAAACAACCTCAAACACCACAACAAAATCAAACACCACTACAACCAACTCAAACACCACAACAAAATCAAACACCACTACAACCAACTCAAACACCAC